ATACAATTATCATATGTCTCTGGTTCTGGCATGAAAATACGGATATTGTTAAATAAAAATTTGTAGATAATTTTTATTTAAGGAATGTATCTCACTCATGCGTAGCTAGGGGTTCTTGTGCAGGTTTGGCTTTACTCTTTGACTATATAGCTGCATGGTGTATAACTGCTCTTGTGAATAATAGATTACTACTAAATCCCTATTATGTACATGCAATTTTATTCGGAAGATGCATCTGGTGTCAGCCATTTACTGCAACTTAATACCTTGTTTACGCCAAATTACATTGATAATAGTAAAACAGTTGCTTGTTTACTTAATATAAGTGTTATCATTTAGCAGCAAAAAGTTCAGATTGTGGCAATTAAACCAGAAAAAGACAAGATAGTACAGCGATTCATATTGCCATACAAAAGCAGTGATAAGATATCAACTTGATGACAGAAAAATAGACGCAATGAAGATTTCATTCCAAATCCGTAACTACAAATCATCTTCTGCAAGTTTTACTGCATCTAGAAATGTTGAGATAATGACTCTTTTCCTGTTATAGGGCTATTCCATTAAAATGTTTGTGGGAGGGTAGGAAGTGAAGTTTAATTATTGAATGTGGGTCATGGGTCTTTTTTCAGTATGCGTCTATTACCATTATGCAAAATTATCTAAAAAATGGTTCTTGGTTGTAGGGATATTTTGAAATTCCCTTCCTACCCTCCCACAAACATTTTAATGGAATAGCCCTTATCAAAACTAATTGCTCTTTAGAACAAGTGAAAAGATAAAATATCTATCTATTACTTCTATGTAAATCAGGTGTAGGCGTTTCATATCTTCGAGGCTGACTCGCACCCCTGAGATACGAGAAGCCTATATCTAATACATTTGATTTCATATCGCTTGTCCATCCAGCATTGTCTGCGAATGATGTCATAATAAATCCCGGACTGCCAAAATAAATCAGTTATAGAAATTACATAAAAAGGAACCATTTAGATACTGTTTAATTCATATTGGCCATACAATATAAGATTAACTATCATTTTCTTTTTAAATTTTGATACGGACTCTTTTATTTGTAATATCGTATATCCAGATTAATGCGTATGCAATAGATTTTAAATAGATTCACATGCAACCACAAAAATAAGGACTATGACATGATTTATAACAAACTTTTCTAAAATTGCCCGTTAATCAATTTTGAAATTATAAAGAAACTAAGATTTCAACTCCCTCAGGCAAAGTTGACCTGATATGGATTTGGCTATTTTTTTTTATGTCTTTTTTCTTCATATAGCTCTTCAACTGTTTCTGTCCTTTACTTCGTTCGCTTTCAAATATTCGGCTTTGAGCATTTCTGATAAAGGTAAAACCAACAAAGCGCTTCGGACGCATGCAATTTATAACGTGTTGTTTTCATTTTAGCATGATTAAAATGCATTCGTAAGTGTTTGTTTTTTGGAACTCAATGCGACCATTCCTCTAAAACAGTATTCATTATAAATTAAAATAGTAAAAGCAGTCATGATAAAATACTTTCTTTAGATTTTAACTCGACAATCTTTTCAAAACATTTTTATAAGAATAAGACAAACACGTTTGTTCGAACATGGAAACAGTTTAATTTTGATATCAGAATTAAAAATTAGAAATTAGAATTGGAATGAGAAAGACAATTTAAATTTAAATATTTGTCCAGCTTCTTGAATTATTTAGCAAAGTTAAATACAAGTAAATTCTTAGATTTGCTCTGTTTGTTGTGGTTGATAATTCACTTTACAATGTAAGTGTTGTTTCTATTCACCATAGTCTTCTCTTTTCTTTGTCTTAAAAACTTTCCGTATATTTATTCTAACTTTATTTTCGGTCTTGTTCTAAGGTTAGCGAATTGCCATGCACCAATTAATTATGAATTTGGATAACGTCTTACATGCAGGATGTTAGACTCGAGACATCTATCAATATACTATACATTATGGATTTTACGGACTGACGGATGGACTGACGGATTGATGGACTGACGGATGGACGGACAGACAGAGGTAAAACAGTATACTCCCACTTTTTTTAAAGCGGGGATATAATTATAAATCGCTTTAATATGCATTTATTATAGATGTCTGGACTTTCGTCTTTATAACTTGTACAATTTATTCTCAACGTAAGTATCGAATCTATCAAACTTAAAAAAACATTTGTAAATGGGGACGCTACGTGATTCTAATTGAATTATCTTCCGCGCCGTTTACCATGAAATAAATAAAAACTCATAGATCTGATTTATAAATATAACTAATATCGACAGTCTGGGCGTCTCTATATAAGTAGAGAAAAAGACCAGAGCGACATTGTAGTATATATGAACCTGAAAGGACGCCTCCGGGTGCGGGAGTTTCTCGCTGCATTGAAGACCCATTGGTGGCCTTCGGCTGTTGTCTGCTCTATGGTCGGGTTGTTGTCTCTTTGACACATTCCCCATTTCCATTCTCAATTTTAATATGTATAGCCTGTACATTGTTCATAAAAACGTCAAGTTTTATGTATGGCAAATCGAAGTGTCTTTCTTCTTACAGATTATTGCTTGAATTATAGAACTCTAATGTACAGCTAGGTAACGTAGTATAGAATATCAAGAACTTTCCATTAATACATGAAAATAACACTATATAAATTGTATGTGTCCGAGGCGCTTTTCTGAATTTAACTTCACCAGGAACGCTCAAAGCCGGATATTTTAAAGCCAAGGATTTGAAAGTACCGCAACACGTGAAGAGGGACCTAAACATAATAAACAAATTCATAATTGTCAAGATTGCATGATAAACCGAGCACAATTTATTTAACATGTTTAGGTGCTGATATGATATGTACATTTGAACATGGTTTCCTTTCATGTAAAATCTGCAGTGGCAGAATAAATGATGTAACACATACCTAAGGCTAACAAACGTGTGAACATATCCAAAGCAGCTTTAGCAATGCAATAAGCAGAAAAATGAGGACCCTGCAAATTAAAAATTTAATAATGTTACTGTGAAGTGATAATATTATAAAAGAGATGTAAGGTATTCGTCAAAGAGACATCAACCGAACACAATAGAACAAACAAGACATCTAGAGGTTAACATAGAAGTGTTATTTCATATACATGTATATACATTGCCCCTATTTTCTGTGTCTTTTGTTTTGAATGAATTAAACACAGAGTTCCACGGGTCTGTTTCAATAGCAAATTAGTATGTACTAAACAGACTGAAACACAGGCAATATGATTTGGCAATACCACACACATGTGTGGTGGGTTACACGTGTTTGTAAAAGAATAAAAAATATAGTTTTGTGCAATACCCAAAGTACATTGATTTTTTTGTATAGAATTTTAATAGGTAATATAAATGTGTATGAAATATTACATCAAGCACGATAATTAGCATAACGAATTATAAAAGGCGAAAAATGAATAAGTAGTGCATCGACATGCTTGTAAGGGCGAATTTTAAGTTTAATGGACCTCCTTACCGGAGTCCTCCAGGCTAAACTATGCATGAATGTATATATAAACTTCATGTTCAACTTGTCGAACATTCCAAAATTGATGACAGAACCCTGGAATTTGAGATGACAGGTCGGTAACTGTGTTTTTAAAATGTTCTGATAATTTCTGATTTAAGAATAACAATGACGAAATAATGTTGTATGAAGACGAATCAACGGATTTCGAATTTACACACTAATCAGTGATATCATTTTTATAATATTAGAGAGAGAGGGTATATGTCAATGAGACAGCAACATGGCGACATAATGGAAACACAAGGTAGACTTATAATTCCATGAAACAGCTGGATGTCTTTGGATACGTCATTTTACTTCTGTTGTGATATATTTACTATGTCATGGATCCCACATGTTTATCCATTCGTCCATCATATTTCTTTGCATGTCACTTGCTATATGATACGAGCAAGGAATCGTATTCCAATCGTGTGTACATAGCAGGAGATGCTTAGCAAGTACCTGTCGATACTCCTGAACTGTAAACCAAAAAAAATAGATTTTCATATTAAAAAAGATGCAAGTTTGACCTATTTTCGACAATTAAAATTCGCCAGATTTTTTCTCTCGCGAAAATAATTTTCGGTTTCCAGTAGGCCACTATACTTCATTAGACACTATATATATAAATTTACTCACTGCACGTTGTCCTAATACACTAGAAACATTCACGATGGATCCTAAAGAGTAAAATAATGTTAATGACAAGTCTTTTTTCATATTCAGCAAAAAAAAAAAAAACGTCTTTCCTACATTAATTACATTGTCAATTCAATTTGTCCAATGAACGTCACTAACGGTAATTAACGTACCGGTGTTTGCCAAACTCCGAAACAGTGATGACGTTGCTTCGCTAAACTATCATTTACAGTCAATGTAGCGTAGCAAGGAGGACGTTACCACTGTTTCGGAGTTTGGGTGTTTGCTGCAAAGGCGTGTTTTAAGAAATCTGTTTTGTTTCAGTGCAATTCGAACTTATTCCTGGTTATGATATGTTATTGTTTTCGAATATAACCCTTATACCTTTATGACATTTTGCTATTTCAGAACCAGACTATAGATTAAATAGTATGTATTGATCGTCTCTAGGTGAAATCTTGCAAAAGTGACATGATAATGAACGTATGTATAAAATTAGCAGAAGGATCCACAATTTATTTTGAAACAAACTGATGTCTGATCGTTTATATTCAAAATATCAAATATTATTATGTGCGTTTTACTTTGGGTGGATGCGGCAATTTCGTGTTTTTCCCTTATACAATACGGACTAAAAATATAACTATATAACTATGTACCAGCCCTCATGTGCAAAATTCATATACGTTTTCGGTTTAGAGAGTTTGCTTTTTTGTACTCACCTTGAGTTTTAATAAGATGTGGATCAGAATGCCTAGTCAAATTATAACTCGATTTAAAGTTAGTGATCTGTACTCACCTTGAGTTTAATTAATAAGATGTGGAACACAAAGCCTGGACAAATTATAACTCAATTTGAAGTTGGTGTTCATTGTATCGTCTAGAGTAGCTGCTGATGTCGCCGTTACATTACCCATATTTCCTTTACCTGCATTATTGATCTGATAAAAAATGAAAACAGATGACGTCATGATCATGATTTGTGTCAATTTTTAAACTGTCACTATGTATCAAAGATTGCAAATTTAAAAATAGTTCTCAATAACTTTACCGGTACCAATTTTACTGCATCAGATGCGCATTTCGGTGCTCGAGGCCAAAATAATTGAAAGAACCTTTGGGAGCACGCTCACATACCCCACGCCCTTACATTGTTACTGGCGAACAAAAATCTCACCAGATTCCTAAGTTCAAAGACTCATAACTCCTACAATATACAACTGATATTCTTGTGGGTATGTACATATACATAGTATGTCCTCATTGACTACAAAGTTTCATGAAATTCTCTTGAGTGGTTTCCGAGGAGTTGTGATGACAAAATGTTGCAGTAGTATATTCAAAATTCTTATAAATTCTAAGTTCAAAGGTACATAACTCTTAGAAAAAAAATTGAATCATAACGTCCTGTCGATATGCACATTTACATAGTATGTCCTTAATATCTACAAAGTTTCTTGATGTGTGGTTATAGAGGAGTTGCAATGACACCAACAGGACTGACGGACGGACGGACAAACGAACGGTCTGACAGACTGACGGGCTGACGGGTCAAAAACATTATACCCCACGCAACCTTTGTTGCGTGCTGTATAATTAATGAAGAGCTTATCAACCCCAAAAGCGCCTACAGTATAGCCAAATCTAGACATGACAAATTCCAATCAAACAATATCCGTATTTTCATTGTACCGAAGTACTTGCTACTGGGCTGGCGATATCTTCAGACAAATGTAGTATTTAACGTCAAAACAATTTGATATCGAACATACTTTAGTATACCGGTATACCAGATGGAAGGATATGTAATGTGAAGTGTAAACGGTATCTGACATTATTAATTTGTTTTCCTGTTAAATTTTTTTTTCAATGTAATATCATTGTTTTAACTTGGTTTTTATTTAGTTTAAATAAGTTATTAAATTAACTTTATTAAGCACAAATTACACCCATAAGAGGGTCAAAGGCATATTAATTATCTGTATAAACAACAATATAATGATGACATTTACATTTACATCAAAATAAAACAAAATATCAAACACATAACACAACAAATGACCTCAAGTGCCCCTTGTCCTCAATTCCAGTTATTGAGATCTGACAGTAAACTGTAGGAGAACTTGGTTTTAAACTTAAAAAAAAACAAAATATATCATTATATTGTCAGAATACTGTTGTAAATATTTATTAGTACATTTTTGTTTTTGATCAGCAATACACTTGTTACATACCAGAACATCAATTCTTCCAAATTTCTTTACGGTCTCATCGACTAATGTCTTCAAATTGTCGTCATTAGTGACGTCGCAAGGAATAACCAATATCTGGAAAATTGACATCAATATTGAGACATAAGTGTTCAACGCAACATAAACAACTGCGTGTATATAGTTCATGAACAATAAATTATTTTTAAACTAAACAAACTATTACGATATGTGTTGGTTATTTATCTTGTCCAATATAAAATTCATGCTTAATCAAACACATTTTGATTAAAAATAAAATAGAATTATAAAATCTTTCATTTCATCTTTTCGAATACTCATTAGCGACTTCTCTTTTTTGCGCTCATTACTATACCAATAATGCCTTTTGTATACATCTCGGGGGGACCACTTCAATACTTAATTTATTGGGGGTGCCGCTCGGGTTCTGTTACCCCACCCTTTTCATATGATTTAGATTTTAAAAATGTATACCTTTTCACATAATTATTGCGTAGGGAAAATGTAACCTTTTCCTGTATTGGTTGGATTTCGTGTGGTGTGTTTGAACAGTGGAATACCAAAATGTTAAAAGAGGGGAAATTTGTGGATAAAAACACAGTCGCTAACACCAAGAAAAATGACAGACGAAGAAGAATTAACTAATAATTGGAACTTTATTGACCTTATCATATATTTCTGATAGTTTTCCCCACCTATTCACTTATTTTTAAGCTGGAAAATGTGCCCTATTCCAGAGGTACATTCTATGACCTTGTATATTTGTTTGCTTAACCTGAAGTGGCAATCATGCATTCTCTTGACAAGAGCAAATTAAGAATACATTCAATAGGCTGGTTTTGAAAAGGAGGTCGACCGGGATGAAAGGCAGGTTTTACCTTGCATTGAGAAAGAGAGAATATTGAGATGGGATATTTTGCACTGCAACAGGTCTCCTGCATACCCATAGAAGAGCTGTTGTAATGGTTCGTTAACGCACAAAAATGCACAAAACGTTTAAAAGTATAGTATAGTAATAACTTAGGTCAAAGGAACTTCTGTCCGACAGTGAGACCTATGGTAAGAGAAGTTCGTTTGTCTGCATAGGATGTATAAATACACAGCCACGCCTTGTTGGAGTGGGGACTTAAAATCCATTGTATTATTGAGAAGATATCATAAGTATTGTTTAATTGTTTCTATTCCATTTTGCTTAAATGTAGCAAATAAAATATGTTTACACTAAATCTGGAACATAAGTAAAACTCAAGTTTAAATATTTAGACAAGAACTATTTAGAAGCGTAATGATCAAATATAAATAATGTCTCATGAAAAGAGAGTGCAACGTTCCCTGTACGTTGGATAATGATAGCAACAAATCGTGTAGGGGTACATCGGTGGCCTCTTACAACGCAAAATGTATGCCTATATATCCAACATTTCCTTTTTCCCATTGACATTCTATATTTCATTACGGTTGGCCCACTTTAAAGATCTTACAGGCTGGCATGATTTATAATTTTTTATTTCATTTGTTCTCATCCCGAATATGGATTAAATATTTGCGACTGGACGTTCAATTTGTAAGCAAACAACAACAAATTTAAACTTGACGAATTACTTGTACTGAAAACTATTGTAGGCTTTGCTTGATTAATAAACTTACATCATTTTTCGATAATCCTTTAGACTTACACAAGGATGCTACTATCTCAAGATTCTCGACATTTCTAGCTGCTAGAACTACCTTTGCTTTGCTCTCAGCAAACAGTAATGCAGTTGATTCTCCAATACCCGAACTTGCACCTGAAGTAAAAACATATCATTTATATATTTTATTAATTAACTACTCTGTTATTGGAATTAATATGATGAAAACTGCCTTTGCAATACAAAAGTGTCAACTCGGCCAATACAGAATAACTCGGCCAATATTGATTTTTTCCGTATTGGACGAAATGTATCAATATTGAATATCACCGTTTAAAAGAACAACATGCAAATGTGAGATTAGAAGTTTGTAACAAATGGTAATTACCCTATATTTTATGGCATTTTTTTAGAGTATACATCATTATATATATTATGATATTATTATGTGATTATTTTTGTATTGGCCTTGTTATTGGTTCGAGGTTTGCTGTATTGGCCTGCAGCTTCGCCTCAAGCCAATACAGCTGGCCGAGGACCAATAACAAGGCCAATACAGCTGGTCGAGGACCAATAACAAGGCCAATACAGCTGGCCGAGGACCAATAACAAGACCAATACAGCTGGCCGAGGACCAATAACAAGGCCAATACAGAAATAATCACGTAATGATATCTTTATTAATTAAAAGTGAAATCGATAAAATATAACTGAATCTATGTTTACTGGTCCCTAACAGCATTTTCCTTTCAAATGATTTGGTTGAGGGTTACTCAAGTTAGCATGCGGAAACTTATAATTCGTCTCAAATTTAGCCCAACTATGTTAGATCTTCAAATTTGCGTTAGGAAATTTTTGTTTTTCCCTCAGCGGGATTCGAACCCTTGCTATGTATATTTATAGACGTTAGTAAAACTATATGCACTCGTGGCGTTTCGTTGGGTCTTTATAAACATTTGTCGGATCTATATTATTTAGACAGAAACCCAACAGCACAAATAATGAAAAGTTGTCTGTTAAAAGTTCAACATTCAGTTTCAACAACATGTTTCCATTCAATATGTCAAGCTCTTAATCGCCATGAGTGTTAAACCTTGTAAATTTAATTATATATATGAGTGCCAGTCTTTGTAAGAATCAGGCAATTTAGAAAATTTCAAAACATGGCCGAAAAAAACCCACCAACCTAACCATCCTATTTTGAAGTTACCCTCATCCTGAGTAAGAAATGGTAGGTCTTTTGTTTCTGCGTGTCTGGTAATTCGAGAAATCTCTAGATAACTTTTGGTTAGAATAATAGCAAATTATGGAGTTATCTCCCCTTAATTTTTAATTTGTAGTGCATTTCAACCAAATTATATCTTGAATTACCAGAACAGGAAAAGTAAACCATTATACAATTTGAAAATAAATTAATGTAAACTGGAGTGAGTTTTTGTTTGTCATGTTTCCACATCTGCCTGATTTTTAGGCAGATTGGCACTTTAAAAGTAAACAGAGTATATCAAATATCTGCCATCCTCACAAAATGTTCGAAATAACAAAGAACTGGGGACTTTTTTTTATCAAAGTTCCTGTCATCCCCTAGAAAATCAAAAGGTTTTGATGTTAGACCGACAAAAACCCATAATATGCTAAGCCTTTTTCGTGAACATATACATGTATTTTGGAAAGTTTGCTGAAAAAAAAAGATATCTTTACCTGTTATTATGGTGACCTTGTCCTGTAAAGACGCCACGGTAAGTTACACGTATATAGACAATCTTTAATTATACCTTTTTAACAATTGTCTACACCTACAGATGACAACGACTACGACAGGTAAGATGTGAGTGGTCGTCTCAAAAGTTTTATTGATTGCATAGTCTGTAACTGAATTGCAAAAAAAAATGTTTGCCTATATTTATTTATACCACAACGATATTTTTCTTGTTTTGGTTGTACTGCATTTGTTGATTTAACTATGCTTTCATTTTTAAATGGAATATGAATAAAAGGGATGTCTTTAATATTCTTTCTAATCATTCTAGAAGTTGAGATTCTAGCTTCATCGCCCAAGGGTGACTGGGGAATAGAAATATGGTTACTAGGTCTTCTTCCAACCGGCAGTACAACTCTTGTCCGTTTGGCTGTGCGGGATATTAAAGTTGCAGCCATGTCCGGTCAGAATGAGGACGTTAAATCCGATGCCTCGTGTAAAGAGAGTGTCACGCTCTTTGCACGTTTTAAGAACCCTTGCAATAACAGTTTGAGGGCTCCGCAGGTGGCCTGTTGCAAGGCTAAATTTCTGTCCTTTACCAAGATTCTTTATTTCTTAAGAACCTTATAGTTATAATGGTGCAAAGAAGTTCATCAAAAGTTATAACATAAACACACACGACAAGATGAGATAAAAAGAATCTAAATAAAATAAACAGTAGTGACGAAGAGTGGTGATTAACCAGGAAGACTCACTTGAAAAGTTATAACCCTGATAAGTTTGCACAGCTTTTTTAAACTACTTTTGTATTTTAACTGAAATAGTTTTCCAAACTTTAGTATTTTAATTCTGTGCAAGAAAAAAGTATCCAGATATTGTGCTCGAAAATTTGCCAAAGAACTACACTGCAAAATGTAATGAAATTCATCACCAATCTCGTTACATTGACACAAATTACAATATCTATAGTTACGTTCAATTTTATTCCATCTACCAGTTTCGATGGGTAACTTGTGGTTTCCCGTTCTTAATCTAAAATATGTTATTCTATCTTTATCATTCAAAATATTCAGATCGATATTCTTCATAATCAAAATTATGTTTAAATAATTTGTAAGCTAAACCTTTTGATGCACAGTCAATATCTGCTCTCCATTTCTGTTGAAACTGATCAAATAACTTTTGTTTTAAACTAATACCAAACCATTTAGAATTAAAATTTCCTTGTGACAACCATATATTGCTATATCCACAGCTATCTAATGTATCTTTAACGTATTTCAACCAATCTGACCTAAGTTGGTTTTGGGAATTCTTCCAGAACATGTATCTGTATATTATTTTAGCAATCCTGTTATCATCCCCATTTACAATTTTTGACCAAAAATTAACCATACGCAGCTGTATATATAAAGATAAGGGATAAATACCAAGTTCACCATAAATCATAAAATTAGGTGTTGACTTCTTAAGATTTAATGGTAATTTACAAAATTTCAAATGCAATCTTTCTATAATATCAGTATTACTGAAACCCCAAATCTCACATCCATATAGTAGGATTGGCTTCACAACTTTATCAAAAAGATTATATTGAGATTTCACTGACAAGTTGTGCAACCTCCCCTTTTTCAATACTCCGTACATTGCTTTATTTGCTTTTCGAACTTAAATTTTCGTAGCACTCATAAAGCTACCTGTTCTTGAAAAATTCAACTCAAGGTAAGTCAATTCGTTAACTATCTCCAATTACCATCATATATAAAATTGATATTATTGGGTAATCTACCACCAGAAAAAATTATGATCTTAGTTTTATTAGTGTTTACTTTCAATTTCCAGGTACTGCAATAATCATGGAATATATCTAAATGCAACTGCAGATCAAATGCATTATCAGAAAATAACACTGTATCATCTGCGTACAATAACACAAAAAGTTTTAAGTAGATATCAAACTCATCCTCTATTTCATCAGTAATACAATTTAAATCCCACATATTTCTTTCTTCAATATACTGCCGAAGATCGTTCAAAAATAATGAGAATAAAAATGGAGACATATTTTCACCCTGTCTTACACCAATATTGCATGAAAAGTATTCTGACATTTCACCTTTATATAGAACACGAGATTTAATACCAGTGTACATATTAAAAATTACCTTATAAATTTTACCGTTAATACCATTTACAAGTAATGTATGCCAAAGACCCTTTCTCCAAACAGTATCAAAGGCTTTAACAAAATCAACGAATGCACAGAATAATTTCTTTTTCTTATTTTTCATGATACTAATAAGCATGTAAATAACAAATAAGTTATCTGTAGTTGAATAACCTTCTCTGAAACCAGCTTGATTTTGACATAATAAACAAAAATCGTCAGAAAATTTATTCAATTGTGAATTCAAAATAGAAGTCAATAATTTCCAAAAGCAGCTTATAACTGTTATAGGTCTAAAATTGCTAGGATCTTGTTTGACTCCTTTATTCTTATACAAGGGTATTATATTTCCAGACAGCCAAACATCAGGAATTATTCCACTGTCAAATATGATATTAAAAAGTTTCACAAACACCTGTGACATAACACAAAATGAGTGTTTCAAATATTCATTTACAATCATATCATCACCCGATGATTTATTGTTTTTCAATTTTCTCAAAGATTTTTCAATTTCCTCTTCTGTAATAGGCGAGTTTAATATAACATTTAAATTTTCTACATTGTTCTGATTTTCTAAAACAATCTCATCATCTTCAGAATTTCCTAAATTTAAATTCTTAAAATAATCAAACAAAATATTAATATAGGTACACATGGATTGCTTCCCCTTCTACCACCGTTCAATATCATCCAGTATTCTTTCGGGTTAATCGATTTCAAGTTGTCTATCTTATTTCGAATTTTCTTTCTATGTTTACCAATACTCTTATCCACTATTGTTACTTTTATAACTCTTTTCTAGTTTCTTTGTTTCATTCACTGTGACGTCAGTATGATTATACGCTTAAGTTTTCGTCTACTAGACCGAAACTTTTTCCTAGCTTTATTACATTCGCTATCAAACCATGGTTTTGATTTTCTCATATTTTGTGTATTCTTGCTTTTTTCAGTAAATATGCTGAATGTAGACTTTGTCGCATTTGTAAGTAAATGACATACCAATATACCTTCATTTACCAGTTGCAGTCCAAATTTCCCCGGCCTTCTTCCCAGACGGTCTCTATTAAATAACCTACCTATTGTATGTATTGTTAATTTGTTCTCGCCCTGAACATGCATGAAATATTTGCCACTGGACGTTAAGCAACCAACAATCAATCAATACTATGTTAAATTGGGAAAAAGAAAAACTAATAATTATGTAGTAAATGTTTAATCAAACATTTTTTTACGTCTATTGACAAGCGCGGCACATGTCATTACAAAGTATAAAATTTTGGGCCTCGG